AAGTTTAAAATTTTGTTTTTGTCCTCCATTGCTGGTAGGAATGTAACCTTGTACAATAACTTCAGATATTAATCCAGCACTTTCTCACAATATTAGGAATAGTGCCACCTCAAGATCCAGCTATATCAATCTTAGGTATATATTCAAAGATGCCCTACCATTCAATAAGGACATTTGCTCAACTATATTCATAGCAGCATTATTTGTAATAGCCAGATCTGAAAACAACCTAGATGTCCCTCAATAGAGGAATGGATACAGAAATTGTGGTACATTTACACAATGGAATACTACTCAGAAATTAAATACAAGGAACTTATGAAATTTGCAGGCAAATGGGAACTAGAAAAGATCATCCTGAGTGAGGCAACCCAGAAGCAGAAAGACACATATGGTATATACTCATTTTTAAGTGGATATTAGCCATATAATAAAGGATAAACATACTAAAATCTATAGTCCTAAAGAAGCTAAGCAACAAGGAGGACCCTAGGAAAGAGGCTGAAATCCCATTCAGAAGGGCAAACAGGATAGACCTAGGAAGTAGGAAAAGACAAGGAACAGGACAGGAGCCTTCCACAGGAGTCTTCTGAAAGATTCTAGCCATTAGGGTATCAAAGCAGATACTGAGAATTATAGCCAAACTTTGGGCAGAGTACAGGGAACCTTATGGAAGAAAGGGAATACAGTAAGACCTGGAGGGGACAGAAGCTTTACAAGGGGAGCAACAGAGCCAAAAAAACCTGGGCTCAGAGGCCTTGCAGTGACTGATACACTAACCATGGAGAAGAGCTAGAACCCCTGCTCAGAGGAAGTCCATAGGCTGCCGTTCCCAAGTGGGTTCCCTAGTAAGGGGGATGGGGTCTCTCTCTGACATGAACTCAGGGGCTGGCTTTTTGACCACCTCCCTTTGGGGGATGCAGCCTTGCCAGGCCACAGAAGAAGATGATGCATCCAGCCCTGATGAGACCTGGTAGGCTACGGTCAGATAGAAGGGGAGGAGGCCCTTCCCTGTCAGGGGACTAGGGGAGGGACATAGGGGGAAGAGAGGGAGAGTGGGTGGGACTGGGAGGAGATGAGGGAAGGGGCTCAAGCCAGGATACATAGTGAATAAATTCTAATAAATTAATAAATTTTAAAAATCTGTTTTTATTGTGACTATCATATTTAAACTCTTATGTAATTGGACAAATAAAAATATGTATTCTGGACAGGCAATGGTGGTACATGTTTATTCCAGCACTGGCGAGGCAGAGGTAGGCAGATCTCTGTGCGTTTGAGGCCATCCTGGTCTAGAAAGCTAGTTCCAGGAAAGCCAGGGCTACAAATAAAGAAACTCTCTCTTGAAAAGACAATAACACCAATAACAACAAACAAACAAACAGACTATGTACTTTGTTCAGTAAAAGTTTGAGTTCAATCTTTGAGTCACTCTCATGTACAAAGAACAATGCATGATTACCTTAGTGAAAATGAGAGCTGCAAAATGAGTGCCTGTATATATACATACATACATACATATATATATATATATATATATATATATATATATATATATATATATATATTGCTGATTATATACTAGATGTCCCTAGAAATGAAATAATTTCAAGTCATAGAAAATACAATAATAAATTCAAGCTGAATAAATTAGAACAAATCTTTACAAACCACATCCCAAAAGAGCATATCAGGCAGTAAATGTGTTCTGGGAAAGATAGAGGATGGGGAAGAGACAATCAAATGAGGATAAAAGGAGAAAAACACAGAACAGCATAAAAAGGGCTCTAGCCCTAAGTTTTTCCCACTGTGTGATGTAGCATCTTAGGATTAAGAAACTTGACCTTTTTGCAAACAGTGAATCCCACAGTTAAGATACAACTTAATTCTATCTGAATTGTGGAAATGTTTTTAGATCAGAAACACGGGTGATGACATTTATTTTTAAAAATATGTAGATATGGGTATTTAATTGTGATTTATTTTTCCCTGAAGAAATGTGAGAAGATGTTTCCAGATGCAGGGACACAGAGATGAAGCTTCTCAAAAGCATGAGACAGTAAATGGGAATTGGAGAAGAGAGATCACAGAGATAAATTTAAAAGATAGTTTAATTGTAAACCACATAGGAATGCTATTCAGTAGATGAGAATTTTTAAAAGGAGTGACCACAATTATATGACATAAGCTATAAAAGTTGATAACATTTATTGAGGGGCATACAACAAAAAATGTTGAGTAAATAAATAAGTTTGACTTTCTAAATCTGACTTGGAGAAAACTGTGGAAGAGTGGCAAGAAGCTGTTTGGTAATGAGGTGGAAACACTGGCATACAGATATTGCCGGGAGGAGAAGTATGAAACTCAAAACTCAGACAGATTGTTTGCATGCAGCTGTGAATGGGTAACTGAGCAAAGATCAAGTAACTGAGCAACAAGGCAATTAGAAAACCTGTGTGAATTTTGTTGTTGTTTGCTTATAACTCTTAGTTGAATAAATTGGGCAGAAAACATCTGTGGGACAAATAAAATTTGTTGAGTAAATTGAGAATACTGAAGTGGATTATAGATTCAGAAAATGAAAGAGAGGAGATACAATATTCCATGACCTGTACTGTCTAGTCACATCTCATCTCTGAATGAAACACAGAGAGTTCAGATCATAGGCTGTGAGCATCACTGAGATGTCTCTAGTCCACCAAACTCTTGCACAACTCTCCATCCCCCATTGCTAACTCTGCTATAGGCAAAGGGATATCTTGGCCATTTCCTTGGCCTAAATATACCTGGCCGTACATTTGCAAGTCCTGAAACTTCGCTCATTTGAAGTGTCATAGTCACTTGACTCGCTGTTGCTTCTTCATCACCATCTGATTTAAACAGTGTGTTTTTCTGGATGACAATGGAACATGCTCATATCACTGAATACTCCGTCACTAGTCAGTGGAACTGCAGGAAGGGATTAGGAGGTGCGGCCTTGTTGGAGGAGGTGTGAGGCTAGGTGAGAGATTTGATGTTTCAAAAGAAGCTTGCTACTCTGCGAGTGCTCTCTTTGTCCTCTGCTTTCCAAATAAGATGTGAGCATGAGCGATCAGCATGAACTTTTTTTTTCAGCATTAATGTTTCAGCATGACTTTTTTCTGCCATCACGGACTCTGATATTTTGAAATGAAAGTCCAATTAAAGACTTTGTTTCATGTTTCATAAGTTTTCTTGGACATAGTGTTTGTCACTGCAATAGAAAAGTAACTAATGAAAATAGACAGCCCCTATTATTTCCTTATTCTGGGTTTTCCTAAAAAAAAAAAAAAAAAAAAAAA